TCATTTAGTGCTGCTTTGGAGACTTCGAACCTGGAATGGCTCCGCACTTTTCGAAAGAATAAGGAAAAGAAAGAAGAAAGGAAAGCATATCCCAGCGCTACGCGTCCACTGGCTCATTTCCATCATGATCATCTCGTCCTGGGGACCCTGCAGAGCGAGCTGTTAGAGTTGTCTGGGGGGAAACACATCTCGCCTCTTATATCAGGGTCAAATCACCTCCTTAAAATTAACGAAGACTAGCAAGAAATCTCTGATAAAATGCAAGATTTCGAAAAATCAGCTGATTCACCTGCCGTCAGGACTAAACTGAGCAGAAATAACTGGCTCTCCATGACCAGGCATACTTGACGAGCATCGTGTCACTGGTTGAACACGAAAAACAGCTTGAGGTTGATAAACGAGGCATAGCGTCTACAATACAGCGTAAAAATTAACGGAATACACAAGATCTTCAACACACTGATGTAAACCAACCTTTTCGAAGTCGATCTTATCTAAGCTTTTCTCAATGCTGCCAACAATTTCGATCCCATCTTCCGTGAAAGAAGGAGATAGGCACTGGATCCTCACTAAGAAAACGATGGCTAAGGTTCGCCATAAATCCGTTGATAAAGAACAATCAGGAAGTAATATTACCTGCTTTCCAGTAACTGATTACACAAAATTTGCAACTGATTTGAAGTGACAGGATGTTGGCAGAAGGATTCCAGCACCACCAAGCTCATCACCGTTCTCTCCTTTGAACCTGACGGACACTTGTCCTATAGCATCGTCCTCCATCTGGAATAGAAAAATCATAGAAGACTCTAGGACGCTAATGATTGAGGAAGGGGATCACTCGGCCGCGTCTGAATATCCCTTCCCCAGAAAGGCTTAGGCTTAGAGCGCAGGTGACCAGAGTCGCCCATGGATAGTCTTGCAAAGAAGACAAGTCTCCACTGAGCCTACATCTTTATTAGTAGAGAGGTTCTGGTTCCCCCTTCCAAGTACCTTAGAAGTGGTTTCAGCTGCGTTACAGAAGATATACTCGAGATCCCTGAGATCGGGTAGGCGGGGCTGCATTCTTCAACTTAACCTGAAGGTGTCTATGCTTCTGGTGGAATATTTCCATCTTGACACAACTGTTGTCGTGTCTCTGTCCAACACAGAACAAGATGACAGTTGTCCCAGACAGAAAATATTCACGAGTAACCCATTCCGGGTGCTAACGTATTTGGGGGGGGGACCACGCGGCGAGCGGCGAGCGATGACTCATCCGCTCTTCTGCTCCCTCCTCGCAAAAAAAAGAAGTAATTTCATGTTTAGGACATGGATATAACACCGTCCTAGCTATATTCAAAAGCTAAAACAGTTAAGGCTGAAAAGTGCGAAGAAACAGTTGTAGGCTGGAAGATTTTGCCTAAAATACAAACAATTGTTGCCTTTTTGTTGATTCTTGACTATAAAAGATCAAATATTTGTTGTTTTCAGCTTCTGTGGGATTTCCCAGCAAGTTCCCGGTGAATCTTGTTTGTTTCATTCTAATTTGGCTGCTAGTTTCGCGCTTCAAGTATGCCTATGAGTGAAGAGCTGATGAGTCATCACTCGCCGCTCTCCGCGTGGTCCCCCCCAAATACGTTAGCACCCATTCCGTGCTATGATTCAAATGCCACGCCTTACTCTGGCGCTTAGGATAAGTAGTTATATGTGATGCACATACGTCTCTAAGCGAAACAACTATTCCATAAAAAAACAATTTCACGTTCATTCCATGGAGGTTATTCCAAGGATAAAGAGTAGGCGGGGAGAAGGAAAACCAAGCGATTCGTACGAGTTCAAATCAAGGGCATCATTAAACAAAACAACCAGCATAGATCCAAGGGATCAAAAGTGCGCTTATTAAAGGCGTAATGGCAACGCGATGCAAAACTGCGCTGCAATGAGAAGTAGGAACAACTGTTCTTTGAGGTGTACCGCCCACTTTTCACTGATCAACTCATTGTGCGTGGGTTATATAAAGACAGTAGTGTACAGTTAGGTGAATGAGCTCAAAAATTAGGAAACCGTTGCTTTAGCACCAGATTGGTTTCTTATGATTCAAAGTTGACGAATACGTCAGTCTGCAATGTGGAAATCGACCAGAGCATCTTCAGTTTTCTAGCCGGCATACTAACCATTAAGTAAGAATGTTTCTTTACGAAGGAACCATTTGCTGAAACCAAATATGGGAGCTTGCTCTATGGTCACTAAGCCGAATGTCCAACTATTTCGCTGTGGGGAGCGCAAACTATCGTCGCTGCAATATTGACCCGCTTATTCATCCATTTCTCACATTCTATACTTCCCAGCTTACGCATCTAAAGCATAGACAAGGGCCCACGCCATCTCAACAGCAAGAGAAGACGTGCGTGAAAAAAATGTGCATTGTTTCGCAGTCGCGTGTGGTACACAAGGAACAGTTGACCGTAGCCAAAGTGGGACGGGCGGTTCGATCTTTGACTAATGCGACAATATTTGTATCGTTAACAATTTGTACTTGTTTGCTCAGTAAAATATTCTCATTTCTAGTTTTTGGGAAAGGAAAAGACCTGCCACACACACTCTGCACTCTCTCTCTCCTTGTAAATGGTCGTCAATTTGACGCGCATCTGTCGTGTTTTTCAGTTTCCTTAATTATATCTAATCAGCCGTCACTTTGAAATTCGTCTGTTCAGGGTAAAAATGGCCACCCACAAGATGAACTTTTTCGAAAAAATGGCGAATATGCTAGGCCATTTATACCGTCATCAGGCCGCCCAATTCCCTCGTCGTTGGGAAATCCTCAAGGTAATTTATAACAATATAGTTACAATTTTATAGTTACAATCTTTTCACTCCACGGTGACATATCGGTGAAGTTTCCTCTTTGTTGTTATTAATTGCATTATAAGCGAAATGCCTAAGAATTATGCATGCATGCACATTGTATCAGTAATGAATTCGCACTGACCGTCAGATAAAGATTAACAGTTTAAAAAACGTTTAAAAAGTGCAGAGGCCAACAGTACCTAGAAAATCTCCTAGCCTTCACGGCGGGTTTAGCGCATTTTTGTATCAGTAATGTGTATTTTTGGGTGGGTCCCTGCTCGCTGGTATCCGTAACGATATCAGCTCCTTTGCCTTATTACCTTACTTGAACCAGTAGGATCTTTTGTCGAAGCCATTGCGATTGTCCGTACAGAATGGTACGCGGTCCTACAGTAAACACCGTGCCAAGAGTGGAGACGACACTACGCCTCAAACTTCCCAGCTCCATTTCTACGGAACGAAAGAATTGACGCACATTAATTGAACTGTATATCTTATGTGTAGGCAGCGTTCAGACTTCGCGACGGCAGCGCTTCGGTCGCGCGTTCGACGCGATCGATGCAGTCGAAAGCATGCGCATCGATCGTGTCCAACGCGCGACCGAAGCGCTACCGTCGCGAAGTCTGAACGCTGCCGTAGAGGATGTCTGCCTGTTGGGTATGCGACATTTCTACAGCAAAATTAGATGAAAGGATGGAGAAACAGTAAGATTGAAAACCGTATACAGTTCTTTTGGAGCGTTCCGGCGAGCTGGACCGCTATGAAGGCCAAGAAATTCGATTTCTGATGT